CGCTGTGAATAACTCAAGAAGACCAGTTGCTTCTGGATTTTTTATTTGATTTGATTTACTTAACTATACATTATCTAAGTACATTCTAACTGCAAATATTACCATAAATGGGTAAAAGTAAAATTGGTTTTCGGAAAATGTGTCCTGTGCTTTTAGATTTTTATGTTCCACAAATACAAAATACATTCTTCATTTTCATAGAAAATATCATTTCTAAGCAAATGTTCTTGTGCTAATAATGCTGTAAGAAGGAAAAGTAAAGGAGTTTTTTCTGCTTAAAAATACATAGTTATTGGATATTTCTAGCTACATTAAAAATAAAGTATGGTTTCAAACTGCATATTGACTCTCCTCCCCCTTTTTACCCCGGCATATGTTCTGTTTCTTTTATGTGTCTAGGACTCAAATTATTTACTGGGCACATAGGCTTCAGATTATAAAAATGCTGTTAACAAGGACCCACAAAAATACATTAGCCTAAGTAAAACAGTTTTAGTTTCCTTTCAGGTGGCAGTCCAGAAGTAAGCAGTTTTGCTGTACTGAGACCGTAGCTTCCATGTCTGAGTCTGAGGGCTTGCTCTGGTGCACATCTGAGTTAACAGGAGAGGGTTCCAGGGAAGCACATGCTGAAATCCTGAGGCTAATACGTGGAATTAGCATTTTATCACTTTTGGTCCTTTCCTGTTAGCTTTTTCGTTTGTCTTGAGACCATATGTAGCTGCAAGGTAAGCTACAAAGTGCTAGTCCGTATCTGTGTGGTCACAGTGCCCAAAAAAGTTAGTACCACAGAAGAAATGGAGAAAGGACCTGGAGAAGCAGTCTGCCACACTACGAAATACTGGCCTAATGGGACACAGGAAGAAACAACTTGTATTTTAGAGATTTGCTCCTATCTAAAAGTAATGTACCCAAGGTAGGCACATATATCAGGTAAGTACCTACTTTGTGCCAAGCACTTTGTAATCAGTTTGCAAGTATTGACTCAATTCTGATGACCATAAGCATTCTCTCCATTTTAATACAGGTGAGGAAACTGAAGCACTTGATTCTCCAGGATAACACCCCTGATTTGTGGAGCTGGGATTCTCACCAAGCTCGTAGCTTCAAAGGTCTTCTAAATTCTGTGCTCTTCTGCCCCTCTCTACCGTGTTACTTCCTGCAGAATTGTTAGCATTAAAAAATTCAAACTAAAATATACATTTGAAGAGGATTGGTTAATAAGGAATATCACAAATCACTTGTGCTGATGTGCTTATCCAACGGGTTTTTCCTAATAGGGACATAGCATAATTGAAGTGCTTGGTCCATTTGTGACAGGCCCAATAATAGGGACAAGGTAAAACTAGTTTTGAGGGCTTCTGGTCAAGATGGCAGAGTAGGTAAATTCCGTGCTTGCCTCTCTGTTAATAGCCACATTAAAATTATAACTAAACTACCTAATAGCCATCATTGGGAGTCACCTGACCTGAAGTCTAGCTGAACAAAAGTTCTACAACGGGGGACAGAAGAGGCCACCTCGAGACAATAGGATAAAAAAACTACAAACTGGTTCTTTGGAGAGAAAAAATTTCTCATTGGGCTCTTGAATAAGAAAAAGCAAAAATTGAGCAATATTAGAGTTGAGAAAAGAAATAGAACCCTGGATGTAGGAGCAGTTAAAAGAATTACAAGAAAATATATTATTGATTTGTTCAAAATGCTTTCAAAACGTAATGCTTTTAGTTGCAAAATTCTTTAAACTGATCTAAGTAAAAATGGAAACACAAATATTCCAATCACCATAAAATTGGAAAGGAGATTAAAATTCTACTGTTCACAAAGGCATCAACAAACAGCAGATGGGTCCATAGCCATAATTGAAAGAACTGACAATCTATTCCATTTCTAGGGAAAAGATGAACATTTCTCTGGTTAACTTTTGGAAGAAAACATTATTCTAACGTCAAACCCAATAAAGGTATTAACCAAAGAAGAGTGAGAGAGATTTTCTCCTGGATGTAAACTCTATAAGGACAGGGATGTTTACCCTTAAATACTATGACCTCAGCACCCAGACTAATAACACATGACAGAACAAATGTTCAATATACATCTTCTGAATGAAGCATAGACCAATTCTCATGAATACAGATGGCCAAAACTAAAAATATAGCAAATAGAATCTGACAACACATCAAAATATATCAACAGATCTGAGAGGACATTTGATACCCTAATGTCATATAAAGTATTTTAATTAAAATTAACATAGGAAAAAAAGTTTTGTGTTGTAATTTCTAAAGTTCACTATAAACCAATATTTACAACCAATAGAACAGTCTTAAAAGTCTGGGAAGGAAACTATCCTAAAGTAAATCAGCAACAAGTATCAATAATAGCTGTAAAAAAAGGGCAAAGTTAAAACAATGTGGCATGTCAAATTGGCAAACGTTTTAAATATCTTGGCAGTTAGACCTTTTGTGTAGTGCTGGTGGGAGTGTAAATCACGATTTTTTTTTTTTTTACACCTACAGCACCCGATCTTCCTAGGTGGTTTCTCATCCAAGTACTAACCAGACCTGAGTCTGCTTAGCTTCCAAGATCAAACGAGATTAGGTGTGTTCAGGGTGGTATGGCCTATAAAGTAACATTTTGACATTCTTAAGTGAAATCCTAATTTTAAAACTATGAACTCTTTAGCAGAGCCGAAGTATCAAGGAAGTAAATAAAATAAATGGCTCCCTGAAAATCTAGGTATATATGATTTGGATGCCCTTGATGGTTCACTCAAATCACTAGGCTATGTCGGACTGCAGCGAATAGAGATCTTAACCACTGGTGATTAACATGTTTTTCTACAAATTTTGTGAAAATATGACCGGGTAGAACCACCATACATGAATCAATTCTGGCTTGGTTCCTTTAATTCATTTTGTGCTGATGGCATTGGTGTAAACTATAGAGAGCTGGATCTGTGTTGCAAAGCCATGCTTAACTGTGTTGCAATGTGCCAAGGGCAGAGAAGCAAACAATAGCTTGTGGTTTAGCACAGATAACCCCATAGTATACAGACAGGCTTTTGGGAGATTATTGTTGCCAGCAAGTTTCAAGTCCCGAGAAGAAGACTTCCACCCCCTCCTTGACCTTTAGGTGTATATAATAAATGTGCTGAGCTTGCGTTGAAGTCACTGTATCTCCATCAGAGTGCAGTGTCTCACTTGGCCCCAGCTTTTGTATATACTGTTTCTGTGTTTTTCTTAATCCTCCATCGCCCTCACTCAGGTTAACCCTCTAGTTGTGCAGATCGCGACAGTAAACAAAGACTGAATTTTTTATGTTGATGCTTCTATAATTTAGGGAGCCCTCTATGAAAAATATGTAATTGTGAATATTAGATGTAAAAGTGAATGTTTAAAACAAGCAAAAATGTCCTTTCTAAAAATTGGTAATACAACTTCAAAGTTCCACTTAAGTGATGTACCTACATCAGAACTACAAAGTTCCATTTAATACCTGGTGTACCTATGTAATTGCTACATTTTTCGACTCATACTCATTATATGACAACTTTGCATTGTTTTCAGAAGAGTAGGAAGATAATTCCATCTTGATCAAAATATTTTTTAATGTTGGACATGCTATCTGCTCTAGAATGCCCTACAAATGGGAATTCTGAAAAATTCTATTGTGTTTAATTACCATCATAAAGGGAAAACATTCATTCATAAAGTGTTTATAAAACTACATAATCCAGTACATTCTTGTCGAGAGCTTCCAATTTGATCAGGAGTCAACAAGAACAGAATCTTCTGCATAAATTTTACAATAGACCCGATGTCTCTTATGTCGCAGTGCCAGAATTCTATCTTCATTAGCCTTTTGGATCTATGCCTTGACAGTCATGACCCAAGTTTGTAGTGGGGGTATTCCTGGAAGCCACTCCTACAGCAGGATGTCTAACAGTAACTTAACCTTACATTTAAACAGATACCATTAAATCCACTCTGTTTCCCCAATTCACCTTTCCCTTAGCTTGTGGTCACTGTAGCACCACCCTAAATGAAGGGGAGCTAAAGTGGAAAGTGATCTTAACCAATGGCAATTAAAATATTTTCTGCAAATTTTGTGAAAACATCACCAGGTAAACTGTTAAGGCCCTCTCCTGGGGAGTAAATGTGATAAAGGGCATAAAGCACTGAGCCTGGCATGCAGTAAACACTCATGAATTACCAGTGAGAGTATTATACAAGTAAACTTGCTGGTACAGAAACTGGCAGACATGTGACATTGGTACCCCAGTAATGAAGCTGGAGCTCAAAATATTGTCTTTCACGATATAACTTACACTGCTAGGTTTGAGCTGTAATTTCTCTAGTCCTGTGTAGGTTCACCGTGCAACATGGAAACAATTTTTTTTTCTTAAGTATTTTATCAAGTACGTCTCCATAAATTAGCTTTTGTAATCCTTAAAGCAAGTGAAGTCGTTAGTACTGTATTAACACTCATTAGGCAAAGAAGGACACCAAGAGGTTAAATGACTTTCCCAGTTGCCAAGGATTATGTACCCACCTGCATCGGATCATTGTGACCTGAAGCTCAAGTGCTGCTCTTCCCACACACCCCAGGCTTTTTCTGAGGCAGAACCTTGCCCAATCAACATATTTCCTCTTGACCAAAATGTGACTTTCAAAATACTTGAGAGAAAATACAAGCTAAGAAACAGGAAGATTTGAGTCCCTTTTCTTACCTGTCACCAGCTTGAGTTACGAGGAAAGTGGAGAAGAGGGAAGCCATCTAGGCCTTCTAAAGTTACCAGTGTTTCTTAAGTCGGAGCACGACTGGCCAGGTCTTGGAAACGCGAGGACCAATTACGGGCTTTCAGGCTGTCGGACCTCTTCGCTTGGTGGGGCCAGCACCTCGCTGCTCCGCCCCGCGCACTCACCGGGAGCCAATCAGAGACAAGGGGGCGTTCCCGGACCCGCTTTCCCGTCTTCCCGCCCTGCGACCCGGAAGTGGTTGTTCTGGAGGAGGCGGGCGTGAGGGTGGAGCTTGCGACGCTCACGCCGGAGACTCCGGGTCTTTTTCCTCACTCGGAAGGTTGCGGCTCCTGCAGGAAAAGTGTGACTGGGTCTGAGGGGAACCGCACCAATGGCTTCTGTGCTGTCCTACGAAAACCTGGTCCACGCCGTGGCCGGAGCCGTGGTGAGGCAGGGTCTTCGCTCCCGGGCCGCTGCGGGGTGTGGGATTTCTCTGGGGTCACTTCCTAGGACATAGCTGGGGGATGGGGATGAGAGGGACATCGTGTTGGGACAGAGAGGAATGGGGCATTAAGTGAAAAGTTGCTGGAAGAATTTGGGGTAGAGGCCGACACTCAGACCCTCTACCCCTGGCTACCGCTTTGGCCTCTTAGAGAATATCGGGGATATAGACAAATGTCTCGCATGCCCACAGGGAATCGGGCAGAATTTAATTTAATTTTTTTTTTTTGGCCTTCTGAAATTTGAAGTCCAATCTTCCTCCTATCCCATGCTCACACACAACTTTTCAATAGATCAGAAGAAAACCAAGGTATGATGTTGTATTGCTTATTCACTTGCTTAACTACTTATTTTCACACCCTTGCTGCGGGCAAGTGGAAGTGACTACCTATGGGATATTTCCTGCCAGTATTATTGGTAGGAGAAGATACATCTTTTTAAATTTTTTAATCAGGATCAGAGTTGCTGTCTACTACAGATGTGTTTTACTGTGAGGTAGGTGCTTGGTTCTTGGGCTTCTGGATATCTCAGTTCCATTTGACATCCCTGTCTTTTTCTTGAAACAGTCTACTCTTGGCTTGGTAACTTCCTCTTCTGGTTCGCATCTTATTTCTCTGACTGCCCTTTCTTATGCCCTCTAGCTGTCAACATACACCTGTAGCAGTTTTAATTACTGTGACTTCAGAGGAATATCACTAATCCCTTTCTTTTTAGCCCTCCTAGAACTCACTGAAACTTCATGTTCTGTGCAGACTAATCGAGGCTGAACTCTAAACTCCATTGTTTGTTAGATAGGTGGCCTATAAACCTCACCTTCCTAATCTATAAAGTGGGGTTATCGATACCTGCCTCACAGAGTTATGAGAATTAGGTGACACCATACATAGTTCATATAAGTGCCTGATTCAAGAATCTTCGTTCATTCATTAAACCAGAAGAGCCTTTCAGCCAGTGTAAAGATGCTGAATTGGAAGCTTGCTTGACATTCTCTAGGAAGGGCATGGAGGGCCAATGTTTCTGGAGTGGGGGGAACAAAGAGGGAAATAGGTTTCAGGGGACCGAATTGTGTGAGACTTTAACTCTGAGTGGGAAAGAGAGCTGGCTAAGTTATTAGAGGTTTAGAGCGTGCAGCAACTTGCCAATTTACGTTTTAAACATGATCACCCTGGCTGTTGAGAGCACACTGTAAGAGAAGAAGGGTGAAAGCAGGGAAACGTGTCAGGGAGCTATTACATCATTTCAGGCAAAAGGTGATAGTGGCTTGGATCAGGATGGTAGCAGTGGAGGTGGTGAGAAGTGATCATCAACCTGCAATACGTTTATAAAATAGAGCCACCAGGGTTTGATGGTGGATTGGATATGGGTTGTAACAAAATGAGGATTGGTTGACTCCCAAGAATTTTTGGCTTGAATAACTCGAAGGATGATGTTCTCATTTACTGAGATGATGAAGGCTGTGAAGGATCAGAGTTTTGGGGAAAAGAGGAGTTTGGTTTTGGTTTTGGACTAGTTAAGTTTGAAATGCCTAAGAGTAGTCATGAGACTACATGAACTCACTAAGAAAATGAGTGTGGACTGAGAGAAAAGTCTCAGAGACCGAGCCTTGGAGCATGCTGACATTAAGAGTTAGGGAAATGAGATAGCATCAGCAAAAGAAGCTAAGGAGAGACCAGTAGGACAGGAGGAAAACTAAGAGAGTGTGGTGTTCTGAAAGTCATGGAGAAGGGTATAGATCAACTGGGTGGGATCAAATGAGGACTAAGAATGAACCGGATTTATCAATGCAACATGAAAAATCCAGTTGAGAAGAAGTGGGGTGAATTGTTGGAGTGCATCTAAGAGAATGAGAAATGTTTGTTCTTTTTTTCTCTTAATAAATGCCATTCATTCAGCACCCTTATTGAGTGGTTTCTATGTGTCATGCACTATTTCAGATGCTAAAAATAGAGTGGAGAACAAAGTATTTTTCTTCAGGAAGTTTGCATTCTAATGGGAGAGAAAGATAATAGTTGAGTAAATGAGAAAAAAAAATTTTAGATAGTGTTAAGTGTTATAAAATAAATAAAATAAGGATTGGTAAACTTTTTCTGTAAGGGGGCAGGCGGTAAGTGTTTTTAGACTTTGTGTAAGGTCTCTCTCTGGCACAGCTAGTTAACACTACTATGAGAGTGTGAAAGCAGCTGTTGACAATACGTAAATCAATGGGCAGGGCTGTGTTCCAATAAAATCCTATTTACCAAACCAGTGGATTAGAATTGGCTCTTGGGCCATAGTTTTCTGAGCCCTGCTATAAAGAGTGACTGGAAATAGAGGTAATATATTTCTCTTTACCCTATAAAGACATTTCTATTTTAATTTTCTTTCCTTGTTGCATATTTTTCTCGTTAAAAGTTCTGCTTGAAATTATGCACCCTGAATTTGCTATGGTTTTTCCTTCTCTCATAAACTATGTTAGATTATCCATTAGACTTGTAAGAATAATTTTTTTTCTCTTGCTTCCCCTTGGGGCAGTAACTGTTCCAAGCACGAGTCTGAGTGAAAATTTGCATTGTTTTGTTATTTTTAACTATCATGCCCAAGAGTGGGTCCCACCTCTTTTTGCAAACCTCTGTGTTAAGGTTAACCACGCAACACAGGCCCTACTTTATTCTGGTTGCTTCCAAAGGAAAAAAATTTCACCACAAAAATATCACTACAGTTGATGAGAAAAATGGCATTGCTTTTAATGGTATAGTATTGTGGTGATGGCTCATGTTTAATTAAATGTCCTGAGTGTGATGTTCAGCCAAAGCTTTGAGATGATCAAGAGAGTCAGCTTAGGGTAGTGGTTAAGTGATCCAGCCAGTCTGGGTTGGGATCCTGGCTGTGACCCTCCCCTGCTGTATAAACTCCAAGGCTGCCCAGAATAGTTGCTTCTCCCTAAAGGATTGTTGAATCATTGTTTAAGATGTTGATTTACAACCTTTTCGAGTTGATACATTTCATGTTTGCTTTTTCACTTCCAAGTTCTACATTCTTTCACATCAAGTGTGGTGTTGTGCATACATACACACACACGTGCGCACACACACTTTAAAAATCAGAATAAACAAATGAGTGATTTTGAGTGTTTTGTAGCATACCATGAGATGAGTACAGAAAACCAGAATTACACTATTTCAAGACAATGCTATCTTTCTAATTGATGACTATTATATGATACAAGTAATAGCCTCATATATAAATTCTCAAAAATTGTGAGTATAATTAGATTATAATTTTACATTTTTGGTTCTCATTAGATTAGTTTTGAAAGATAGATTTTATTCGTAGAAATGTACGTTTATAATTAAAAGAGATTTTGTCAGTCTAGAATTTGAAAACAGATTATTTGGAATTGTCTGGAGCGTTTAGATGCTGATTTTGGAATTGTAATGCAAATAATTAGTAACTTTCAGAAAACTTTTTTCCCTATTGTTAATTTTAAATGTTTTTTTTAAATGCATAATTTGTGTTTTAAAAGAATTGCATTTCATTGAATAAATGCTGATTATTAAAAAATTCAAATCATACAGAAATACAGAAGAGTCCTCCTTTCTCCTTCTATTCCACCTATTATTGCTCCGTGACTCAGAGTCGAGGCACACCTATCCTTAGAACTCTGTAAGAAGGCTTATTCAGAACACTTTTCTCTCATTGGTATCAGAAGAAAAAATTAGGCACACTAACTAGCTCACACACCTAACATTACTGGATTTTTTTACCATATAAACAAAGTGCCCGCCTTTTAGAAATAGGAACCAAATAGAGTAACTTGCTGATTTGCAGTACAAGGCCTTCTGGATATAAAGGTCAGTGAAAGTCCCTGTCCTCAAGAAGCTCTTCTTAGGTGTATAGTAGAAGCGAGGACAAGGCTCCTGGTAGTACCAAGGGAAAAGAGGTGGGCTGCCTCTGTGAAGGTGATTGGGAAACCCCAAGGTTGACATATTTAGACTTGGTCTTGAAGGAAAAGTAGGAATTTGCTAAGGAAAATGAACTACGAGGGCAATAGGAAACTTTTAGAAGAGAAAGCATATTCAAAGTCCCTAATGTGTAAGTCAGCATTCAGGGAACTTCAAGTTCATTTTGACCTAGCTAGTGTAAAAGATGGGAGAGAGTAGAAGGATATGAAGTTGGAGAGTCTCACATACAATGCAAAGATGTTTGGGGTAAAGTTTATCAGAAACTGTTTCTCAAAATGTGGTTGTATCTCTGTGTTTATATATAAATAGGCATTTATGAATAGTTCTTTTTGTTTATATAACTGGTATAGAGTTTCATATCCTGGTCTTTTTTTTTTTTAAATTTTATTAATGCATTTGTTTCAGAATATAAAGCATTTCCCCATGTGTATCAGTTAGGGTTCTCTGGTTACAGCCTGGAGAAACAGACTTTGAGTGATTTAACAAAAAGGAAGTTTATTGGCAGGCTCTTTGGGAGCTCTCAGGATCAGTGGGGAGGCTGCAGACTTGAAGTAAGAAAGAACAGGCTCCAAAAAGATTCCTGAAGCAAAAACTGGAGGATGTCTTTTGGGCACCGCCACTGGAATCTGTCACTGGAATTTTGTCTCTGTTTCTTTGCCCCTATATCATTCTGCTCAAGATTCAAAGACTCGGGAGAGCCCCTATTAGCCATGCTCAAGGTATGTGCCCACCCCTTGACTGTAACAGATGGAGGATGGGCACCTGGATTTACCATCCTACCAAGGTCATGTGCACCCTACCAAGGTCAGTCTGTCATTAGGAAAAGGGAATGGTGCTATGTGGCCCAAAACATCAGATATCTGCTATATCATGTCATTATAAAGACTTCAAAAATTAGTCTTCAAGGTTTTTATGCAGTCTTTATTGTAATCGTTTTTCTAACTTTTTATAAAAATGGAGACAATAACATTTCACTTACTGGGTTGTCCTGAGAAGTAAATGT